CGCCCACCGCCACCGCCCTCCCTCCACCGCCACCATCCGCCTGCCTGCCTGCCTCTCCCTCCTCCTCCCTCCGCTTGGGCAAGCGTATTGCGCCAGTGTGTGTGTATCACTGACATCCATATAGCGTATCAGACTTGTGATTGACATTGCATCCCTACCCCCTCTGCTGCTAGCTGTAATTGGCCAAAATATTATAGGTATCACCGGAGAGAGGAGGGAGGGAGGAAAAAACTTGACTGGCAGCTTGATTTCATCCCTCAAAACCCTCGTGTAGCGCATCCATTGTTCAAAATAGTAAGCTTCCATGGACTCTACTAAGAAAGCCTTTCCTTACCTGGACAGCGTGACACTAAACCCAAGCAGCGTTCCATAAGCTACGAGGTGAAGTATAGCATCATCAAGAGAGAAAGAACAAAGGCAGGATTGATTTAGCGCGCCAGCATGGCGTGAAACGAATCTCGATCCAGACTAAAGGATTCAGCCAAAGATAAAAAGGCATAAAGAAGATGCAAAGAATACACAGGTGCTTTTACACTTGATCAATATTTTTCTAACCAGGTGCTGCTTCCTCAAGACGAAAATACCTTGAAGACACTTGAATGCGTCCAGCGCTGACGAACATGGCGGTCGACCGCAGCGCTCTGTTAAGGACTACGCCGTGAACTGTGTACATGGCAGTGGCGCGAAAGATGGGAACTTCAGAGCCCAAACCCTTTAATGCTTCCTCTGGGTGGTTACAGAGGTTTAGATCGATTTCAAGATCACCAATATAAAACATTGGTGGTGAAAGAAGCAGTGCTGGTCGTGCTCTTTGGCTCGGGAATTTCCTCCGTTTTCACGTGAGATTATGGAGGAAGGACAGTACAGTGGCGACCAGGTGTTTAACATGGAGCGAATCTGGTCTTTTCTGGAAGCTTCCTTCAGTCATACGTTGTGAAGAATGCCAGCATGGCAGGATTGAGGCGGAAAATGCAGAAGAGCATCACGGAATCCTGTTTACCACCAATGCCTCCGGTACCTGTAAGCTCAAGTTATCGTTGATCACACAGCCCGCAAGCGCCTTGCGCCTACTGAAACATGGACATGACCAAGCTAAATGTCCACTGGCTGACGCCGCGTAAACATGGATGTTCTACACTGTCCCTCTCTGGTTTGATGACTGTTTTGTTCCGATGTAAAATTCTGTGGCGACAGAATGTCCCATTTAATATTTTGTTGCTGCTGGACAGCGCACAGGATTTTTCTTCTGTTAGATGATCACCCCAACAAAAGTGGTCTTCCTTCATCCCAACACTAAAGTCTTTAATCAGCCTGGACCAGGGTTGATTTGCAATGTAAGCTGCATTCTCAACAAAAAAATTCCAGCTCTGAACGACTACACCAATGCCAGGTAAGAGTTGAGTAACCTGGTGACACCACCACCGATAGCAAGAGCGAAGATGAGGATCAACAGTTAGAACAACTAAAAATGCTCTTCAAACAATTCTGGAAGTATTTAACATCAAGAAACTGTGGACTTCTTGGTGGAGTCATGGGATTAGCTGTCTATTGCTGCAATTAAGTCGCATGGAGACATGTGTTGCATGGAATCTCAGGTGAGAGGAGGAGTCAATCTGTGACTGGTGAGGGTTCAGGGAATGTTGCAGTAGCAGTGGACCTTGCCAGAAGCTCAACCTGTTGGATTCCAGGCTTCTCCGAGACCTGCTGACGACATCCTGGAGGTGATCAGAGATCCTGAAGTGACTATGTGTGAGATGTTGGAAGAAGTACACGTCTAATTGAAGAAGAGGAGGAAAGAAGGTGCAACAGTCCCGAAGAACGCAATTTAAGTCATAGTGATGATAGGGGTGCCATGGAGTGTGCAGAGAAGATGAAGTCCTTCCTTTCCCGCGACAATGACGATGACCCATCTCGAAGTCTTCCATACCGGCTGGTGCAGGCTGTAGGGCAAAGTACATCAAGATGTATCTGACAACATCAACGCCAGCCGTCAGCAAAAGCATAATAACGAATTTCTTAGCCGCAACCCTACAGCCGGCAAGCCGGTGATAGTGACAGTGGTGACTTTGAGGATTTGAGAAGCCCTGACAACTGTAAGTGACAGTGATGGTGATTCTAGTAATGTTGATGATTCACCTGAAGACCAATAATCTGCCCTCTGCCCGCCGAACCAACCTCCGTCCTACATTATGCAGCCCACATCTGTTCTACTACGTAAGTGTTACACCTAATTTTTAGTTTTCCTAACATACCTTTATTTTTCCTATGTTAACCTTTATCTTTTCTAACCCTAACCTCTTCCTATATTACTTGTTTTTTCATACCCTCATAAAGTTAAGATAAATTTTTTCTAGCTTATGGTTATTATTGTCGTCAAAAATTAGGTTTGAGGGATGCATTGGGACTCCATTCAATTAATCCCATATGTTATATTTATTCCCACTTTCTGCCGTTTTCTCACTCATCGGTACCCTCCGGAATTTACACTGACGCGTAAAGTGAGGATTACTATGAAATATTTGAAATAAGAATATAAGTACAGTCATCGCGCCAGGTTGAATCCCGACCGAACAAATCCCGTCGCGTAATGCGTCATGCCCACCACTATGTGTGTTTATGATATTTACCATAACGTATATATATATTTAGTGGAGTCTAAATAGATGTAAAATGGAAGCGTGGGGGTTGGGTCTTGGGTGCCTAGAACCAATTCGTCGTCCATAGGTTCTGTACTTCGTTTATCGAAGGGGTCCCAATTGGCCCGATAACCAAGGGAATGGCTGTACTGTACTGTATATACTTGTGACACTGGCCAGTTGCTTCTGGTGTTATGGTACAGAATTGCAAGTGACAGCACTAGGATCCCTTCCTCTATCATGGAATAAACAATTCAAATTTAAAATGGGAAAAAAAAACAAAAAAAAACACTTAAAACATTATTCAAATAATGGGACATAGCGAACCTAAATGTGTGTGGTCTAGGCGGGGCACAGTCAGGAAATTATGCATCGCGTATTCTTATATGTGCTGCCAGGCGTCGTTATCCTAGTGAATTTAGTCAATATTGTACAGTAACAATGGACCTAAAGTGCAAACCTGTATTGTGCATGTACTAAATGATTATGGTACTAAAATTGTTATGTCTATTGCAAATATAAGCTTGTTTATACAGGTATTCAAATAAATTACTATCTTACAAGAATCCAAGCTATGTAAGTTATAATATTCACCCAGGTGTTGGGTGGCAAATTATGAGGAAAGTCCTTGCTCTTAGGAATGATAAATAAACACACAGGCCTTCAGCGTAACTGTCAAATCTTACCTCAAATAAATAAAAGACACTCATCTCACCTCACCTCTTGCCTTTCGTGGCTACCTCCCCTCCTTGTGTTCCCAGACAAAAGATTGGTGATTTCTTTATGTTTATTTTATATAATATCTCAGACTAAAGTTAGGATAATATAATTTGCATTGCTGAAATCCTTGCAAGACAGATTAATTTGAATATAAGCATCATATATTTTGCTCAAGATATAAAAAATGTAGTACATTAGTGTACAATACTGTAGTACATTTTATAAAAAAAATTTCAACTGTATTTTTGGGTAGATTTACAAAAAAAATTTCTTTTATTTTCATCCCTTTACATGCACACACCATACTAAAACAAACGTAAAAGAAATAAATGACCTTAGTGCAAAGCTGGAGTGCACATGTACTAATTTGATCACGGTACTAAAATTTTTATGTCTAGTGTGAATTACAACATGTTTATATTCAAATAAATCAGTATCTTACAAGAATTCCAGCAATGTTAATTATATTCTCCTAGGTCATATCACTGGCATTTTAAAATGAGAGAAGCTTAGTAGGACTGTTAAATAAACACACAGAGACATTCGGCTCAAACTTATCACCTCAACCCCCCACCCCCCAACCCCTCGTTGGCTGGCTGGCTCCATCGATCCACCCCTCCAACCCCTCATTGGCTGGCACGACTCCGTCCGTCCCCCAGCCAGGGTTTTAGGGTTACAGTTTTTATCTTATATAATATCTCAGACTAAAGTTAGGAGATTATAAGTTGCACTGCTGGAATCCTTGCAAGACAGCCAATAATTTGAATATAAATGTCATATATTTTGCTCAAGAGATAAATATTGTTGTACATTAGTGTACAGTACTGTAGTACATTTTATAAAAAAGTTTTTCAACTGTATTTTTGGGTAGATTTACATAGATTTCTTCATTTATTTTCATCCATTTACATGCACACACCATACTAAAAGAAACATAATAGAAATAAATGACCTTAGCGCAAAGCTGGAGAGCACGTGTACTAATTTGATTACGGTACTAAAATTGTTATGTCTTGTGCAAATTATAGCATGTTTATATTCAAATTAATCAGTATGTTACAAGAATCCCAGCAATGTTAATTATATTCATCCAGGTCATTTCACTGGCTTTTTATAAGAGAGCTTAGTCACTTAAGAACTGATAAATATACACGCGTTAGACCTGGGCCTGTGCCAACTGTCAAACGTACTACCTCCCCTCCCCCGACGCCCCCTCGCTTGCTCCCTCCCTCTCTCTCCCCCATCTGCCCGGCGTTGCTGGAATCCTTGTAAAATAGTGAATAATTTTAATATAAACATCATGTATATTGCACAAGAGATAAAAATTAATCACCTGTATCACATTACAGTAGTGATTTAAGAGTAAAAGTGTATATGTACGAATACAGTAATCCACATACACGTAAGTATAAATATAAAGTTTCTGTGATGATCGGACAATGTCCATTTTGGTTAACGTCATGTTTCCAAGAACGTATCTTGGACGTTAACCGGCGCATGACTGTACATGAAAATTGAAGTAAAGGGAAAGGCACCCTATGACAAAATACCTGGCAGCTTAAGGGAAATAAAGTATGGAAGTTCCCACCCTTACACCAGCACCTTAAAAATTGGTACTGCAACACTGTGTACTACTGTACTTACCTCATGATCAAAACCACTCATAAGAACAGAGTTCCTGGCCAGTTCACACATGTCTGTTTGTGAGAGCTTCCACACTTGTGTTGCAATAGAGTACTCTTCCATGAGAGGTTCCTTTGTGAAGTGGAACTGGAGTGGGTCATCAGAGGATAGAGATATTAGGAGCCCTCTTGCTAAATACTCTGGTAGTGGGTTGCGATGATAGTTCAAGAAGAGCGAGTTGTTGGACAGTGGTGACATAGCTATACCAATCTGTAGAATATATTACAGTATTCAATTCAAAGATTAATTGCCTAACCTAACCATATTTTCATAATTCAAGTGTAAAACATGAACCTTTGTATCACACTTTCCATATTACATGAGTGGCTGTGATGAAACTCTAAGTGTGAGTGCAGAAGAAGCAGCCAATACAGTACAAGGGGTCCCCGGGTTACGAACAGGTTCCGTTCCCGAGGACATTGTCAAGTCGGATTTGTACGTACTGTACAGGGTAAGTCGGAACACATGCTATGTGAATACCGTACTTACAGAACAATGTTTAAAATCCCACTATATCATAGCCTAAGTCCTTATATACATCTAAAATCACTTAATTTAAGACAAAAGAAGAAATACAATGACAAAATACAGTAAATTAAAGAAAAAATTTAGTCTTCAGGTAAGTAAAATACAGCACTGTAAGCTTCAAGTTTAACCCCATTCATATCGGCGGGCATTCATAAGTTGGGGACCCCCTGTACTGTATATAATCTTTAAATGCTTACAAGCCAACCCTGATTTATGAATGGTCTCAATCCTATAAACCTTTTGTCAAGCAAAAATTGATAAATTGGGGTCAGCTTGTATATTTTCCTGTACAGTATACAGTATGTCACAAGCTACACAAATCAAGAGTCTATAGTACTCCATTTTCCTGTACTGTATACTGTCCAGGGCTCCCAAATACTTGTGTCAGCACCTTAGCAACTGATGGATAATAATCATACTGTACAGTACAGTAATATTAAAAATAAAATGTATTATAAATTATTGAATACAAAATAAAAGGGGGGGGGGGATATACAGCATATTAGGGTTGACCTGTACTTTAATCATAATTTTGTTGATCTATCGCCAACCTTTATACAAAATTAAGATAAAATTACATAAAAACGATCACTTAATGATGTTACAGTAATTCATACTTTCTAATGAATTACTTTTCCTATGATATGTTTTCTAATTTTGGGCCTTTGGCAAGTAGCACAAGAGTGTGGGGAATATATGGCATATACTGTACCAGTAATGTACCAGAGAGTATGGGTGACAGATATGGTGTTGGTACCTCCATTATTTACGACCCCAAGAAACAAATATCAGATCTGCTGAAGTTTTATGCAGACAATGAAGTATCAAAAATGATGAACAAGCACAGGAATATGCATAGAAAACATTGATGGAAAGTGTTGTTGGAGTGGATTTGTCATGACAAGTGAAAAATAGCTGTTAGACTTTAATTTGATTATGGCTCAGCAAAAGTGTTCCATAAGGAACTAGGATTGACAACCCTATGTGAATATACATGGGGATGGTATAATAAATTGAAAAAAAAAATGATACAGAATGCAGTGTTGTGAAAAGGCATAGGCTAATGCTAAAGCTATTGAAACCTATGTAACTGAATTTTATAAGTTGCTAGAGGAAGAAAATTTAATCTCCAATTAAGTGTATATTACAGTACGTACTGACGAAACTGCATTATATAGGCGAGTTTCCTATGTAAAACTAATTGTGCAGGATTTACTAAAATATGCTAAAGGATTGCCCTGTAAGGAGGGAAAGACATTAAATGAGGAAGATGTGGAAGAATGTTTGAACATCAATAATGATCTGCTAGTTGTGCATCAACACAGTAAAAAAGTGGATATGGTGATGAATCCTAATCAGGGGAATGATAGTGACAATGATTTGATTTTGATATAGAAGTACCCTGTATCAAGAAAAATATCCATTGATAAGTGTATTGGTCTGACAGAGAAACTCATTCATGGTCTGGAGCCAAGAAGCCTCATGACTGATGAAAGAATAATGTGGGCAACCAGCCCTACAAAATTAAAGAAATGCTTTTGAGAGAAAAACTTAAATTACATGAGACAAATAACACTGAATGGCATGTTCATAAAAAATGACAACTCATCCTTCAAAGAAAGAGTTGTCACGAGGGGCAACACCACAGTTATCCTATGAATCAACACCGCTGCTATCATCCCATGAGTTGAGTCCAGCACAAACAGTATGACAGTAGCTGCTGCTTGCCAGGTCAGTGACATTGAGCGATCAGCTGACTACTTAAACCTGGTCACACATGCGGTCAATGACTGCAGCATGTTTGATCACCACGTCACTTAATGAGTAAAATGGGATTAGCTCATCCAAATGGAATTTTCGGAGCAACCAATATCACTCATTGGCATACAGCTGTAACAGGGGTATGTATTAATATAATGGCCAAGGTATGTCACCTCACAAAGATACCACAGGTGCATATGGCTATTGCTTGAATGATCATGGTTATGTTTACCATATAATTTACAAAACAATTTAAAGAAGAGTCACCAGAAGTGTGAAAAGCATAATAATAAACTGTACTGCATATACATAGGGGTGTCATTGATGGGTACAAACAATAAATAATTGAAAACCCAAATGTCACAGGAAAATATAAGAAAAAAATGAACTTCAAAATCTAAAATTATGTTATTAGAAAGAATTTACAGATGGAATGTGGTGGCCGAGTGGATAGCGCACTTGATTCTTGTTCTATGGTTTGATCCTAGGGCACTTCCAATTCACTCAGCTGTAAATGGATACCTAAGTTTACAACTTTGAGAAATAAAGACAGTCATGTACAGTACTGACCATGCTGTATCCACTGTCTCCAACAAGCAGTCATTTTAAAAAATGAGAATGAATTTAAAATTTTCAAACTTACTTGAGCCAAGTAGTAGAGGAACTGCAAGACAGGTGCTTTACGCAGAAGTAGACCATGGGAGATATTTTCAGCGAGCAGGAAGCCAGTTACCAAGTGCTGGATGGATCCAGCCTCCCCACAGTGAGGCCGGAGCACAAAGGTGTTTAACCCACGCTCTAAGCGCAGTTGATTTAATGTACAAATGTTGGCATACCTAGAAAAGTACAAGTAATCTCTCCATTAGCCAGAATCTCCGATCCCCGTAACTCTCTAACAGTCGAAATTTCTTTTAGAGAATTCTGAGAAATTTCATGAAAAATATCTCCATTCCAGGTATGGGGACAAATTTCCCTGATATTTGCAATGACTTTTAGGAATGCATCCTTTGTGATAACTGGGGGATTCCTGCATAACATATACAGTTGTATATTTTGTATATTTTTAATATATTGTATGTGTACAGTGGTGTTTGCATAAATAAATTCAGCTCTGTGTCTGTTCATGTGAGATGTGTAGTTTAGAGTCTCGGAAAACTTCCCCCAGTACTGGGAAAAATTCTGGGGATGAGAAAATTCATCTCCATACCAGGAAATCTCTCAATTTTAGTACTGTGCAAAATATCTACCATTACAAAATAAGTCCCACCACAAAATTCTACCCAGGTGTGGTTTCAGATATGGTTTTAATAAAGCTATTGTTCTTTAATATCTTGACCTGAGCATATATTGTGAGTTGCTCATTGGAGTACTGATCTACCAGTACAGAACATTATAGCAATATTAAGCTCATATGTGTGGTTTCTACACTGGTATAGTGTGGCTTCTATTGGTGTGAGAGGGGGAGTAGTCCTTGGGCCAATATTCAGGGGTGACTTCTGCCAATTAGCTAGCCTATGTCTAGGATGATGTATTTAGGAGGGAGACCAGATGTAGGCCTCTGTTGAGAGGGCTATCCTAGAATCTGAGTACTTTTTGCAGACCTTCAGCAGGTTTGTTTACATGAGCAGAATGGATGTTTTTTGGTTTTGCACATATGCAGTACAGTGAACCCTCGAAGGTCCTGTCCGGTAAAGCCAATTGTCCGGATTTTCCGGCAAATAATAAATGATAGAAGAAACACCAAAAATACTCAAAATAGTGCTGGTTAATCGGCCTCTAACGTAATGAACGTCCATCAAAGACACAGGTCCCAGTTTCCCCGCCAAAAAATCAGAACGCCTGCTGGACCACCACCTCGACGACCTGCACACGCATGATCCCCATATCGGCCAGACATTGTGCAAGGAAGAAGCGAGCTGAGGCTCTTCCTAGGGGTTATCTCCAGGCAACAAAGTTAAATTCCGCTGATTTGGTTGAGCAGATAAAATTTCACCTAAGGAATCAGATAATAACATACTTGTTGTAACAGACATATCTAATAGCTAACAATTGCAAATTTCCAGTTGTAAATTGAAGCTAAAATTTCAAATTTTTAGGCATGATGAAGAATAAAGAAATTCCCAAGGCACTTCAAGATTTAGAGAGAGAAAAACTGAGGGCTCAGGCGTTCCGATAAAGAAAGAGACCGTGATGATGGAGGACTAAATAAAAGACAAATACATGTTTGTGATTCAATATTATTGCTTCCAGCACACCTTCATTTCTAACAAATTTAATGCCTTATTTTACCGTTATAAATACTTGATATATATATTTCTTGGTAAGTATAATGGTCGTAAAATGAAACCTAGTTGGTCTTGGGAAAGTTCGAACCACTAGAATAATCCCATAGGGTTCTATTTTCGTTAACGGGTTCCACTAGGTTTACAAACCGATGCGGATACCGTACTGTACTGTATGTATATTTGTGACACTGGCTAGTCAAGTTTGGTGGAAGTATGGTACCAGAAAGACAGCAAGCACTTCAGGTCCCTGCCTCATCACGGAATAAAACAATTAAAACTTCAAACTGGCAACATTCAAATAACGTGACCTAGCCTAACCCAATGGTTCTGAGGTGCCGGCAGCACAAAATAACAAAGATGCAATGGCTTTATTTTATGGATTGTGTTGCATGTATTATTCAGTGATTTAGTCACATGAATAGCATCAATGACCCAAGTGCAAACCTCAGTTGCATTATAACGGAAATGATTACGGCATCAACAATCTGTTATAATGTCTTAAATATAGTTTTGTTTATACAGGTATTCAAATAAATTACTTATTTTGCTTAAGAATCCTCTCCAATGTAAGTTATATTAACCCCAGGCTGTCGGTGGCAAATTATGAGAAGTTGCTTTTAATAAATTTTGCCAATGATAAATAAACACACAGGCAGGCCTTTCAGCGCCAACCACGTCAAATTATTCCAAATAAATAAACAAACAAAATGCCAGACATTCCTCTGGTCACCCTACCTCCCAGCTTCTCTTCCCTGCCAATTTCATAAGTTCAAGAGATGTTAAAAGACAGGATTTTTATGTTATTTATAAATACCAGACTAAAATAGATATTATACTCTACTGTTGGAAAATCCATGTATAAGATAGAGATTAATTCTGAATATAAAGTTTATATATTTTTGTTTCAAGATAGAAAAAAGTGGTATATTAGTACAATAATACTGTAGTATACTTTATAAAAAAGCCTTCAACTGGTACTTTTTAAGGATTTACATAAATTTTTCATTTATTTCATCCATTTATATGCACACAACTCATACTAAAAAGAAATATAAAAGAAATAAATGACCTTAGGTGCAAAGCTGGGAGTATACAAAAGTTAATTTGATTACGGAAGTAATTAAATTAGCAATGTCTAGTGTAAATTACAACATGTTTGTATTCAACAAATTGTATGTTACAAGAATCCTGCAATGTTTAATTATATTCAATTTCCAGGTCATTTCACTTGCTTTTTATAAGAGAAGCTTAGTCACTTTCTAAGAACTGATATGGCAGCATGCTAGACCGGGCTCTGCGCCAACTGTCAAAACGTAGTACCTCCTCCCCACGCCTCTATCGGGCTGCTCCTAATTCTCCCATCTCCGCCTTATGTTGTTGAATTTGAAACAGTGAATACTCTTATTATAAAACGCTATGGGCTTCTTGCAATAAGAGATACTAATCAATTCCGTATCATTAATACAGTAGTGGATTTATAAAATATATACAGTATCTACATACACATAAGTATAAAATACAAAGTTTGTGATGATCGACAACGACATTCTCGGCTAACGCCGCTGCTTCCCCAAGAACGTATCCCAGATCGTTAAGGCATGACTGTACTAATGTAATGATAAACAAATTATCATAGATAAACCACGCATTTACCTATGATAACAAATTAAGAAACATTGTGTCCAAGTAACTGACGGGTCAAGCAGCGCCCACGGACTAAAATGTTCTTTGCTTTGGTTTGGAAATGCTTCTTAGGGAAATTTCTAGGAGGCTTCTTAGCCCAGAACCCCCAATTTTTTGGTCCGGATCTTCCATAATCTGGAATTCCTGGGTCTGGATCTTCGAGGGTTTACTGTACCTGTATAGTGATATCTCCGATAGTCGGAACAATTGGTGCAGAGCACTTCCGGGAATAAGAGATTTCTGGGTAATGAGACGACTCTTTCAAAGCCGGGAAAAATCCCTCATCCCCGGAATTTTCAGGGCAATGGAAAACTTTTCTTGGAATTTCAGGGAAATGCAATGTGCCTGATTTTTATCTCTCAAACTTGGAAAAAACTCCCCATCCCTGCAATTTTCTGGGTACTGGGAAAATTTTCTCGGAATTTTCCAGAAAATGTGTCCCTCGGAAAATAATTCCCAAAGCCGGAATTTTCAGGAAAATTCTGGCTTTGGGAAGCTTTTTATGAGAAAATTTCCATTCCAGCTATCAGAAATATTACAAGACAATTGCATATTCGCATGTGACATATTTTGCACAAAACCAGAACTGCTCTGCAATTATTCCAGATAACAGGGATATCACTACTGTACAGGTATATGAAAAAAATATAATTTAAGGAATGTCTAAAATGTAATGTGCTGTAAGGCAATATACTCATTGACTTCTAGTACAGTATTAAGCATTTGACTATATTGTTTCTTGACACTTTCTTGTTATTGTATAACTAGAGATAGGAAATATTACATTGTGTAGAAACTAGAGGTATAAACCTACATATAGTACAAGTAGTAGGCATATGGAGGATTTTCTGTCTCTGACCACAGTTGTGGAGGTGGAGTGTCCTTGTCCATCACTACTGACTCAGGTTTGCTCTCATCATCAACACTATCAAATCCGATCACATATCTGGAGAAGAGACAACATATTATGACAGTTTCAATGCCACAGTAATATAAATTCTGTTACTTATATTGTGACCTAACAGTCTTATTAATAGAATTTATGACTATACTGTAGTACTCATAATATTTTGGACTGCTCATTTCTTACTGATCTTGATTTCTTAAAGACATTTTCCCAAGGTACTTATCAAATGAATTATTTAGTTCAAAATTAAGACAACACACAATAATAATAATAATAATAATAATAATAATAATAATAATAATAATAATAATAATAATAATAATAATAATAACAATAATAAATATTGTAATATCCAAATTTTGGATTACTTTAAAGTCCTAATGAGAGGTTGACATCTCGAAGGAAAAGGCCCTGTACTATTACATATTAACTAACACACTGGGTACAGTACTTTTATTTTTATCTTTATTTTTTATTTTTTGGGTGTAAAATATATAAATTTACAAACTAAATACCAGTACTGTACAATAGACATGACTAGCTGATCGAGAGGACTGTCATCATAGTTGCATGCTGTAAGATGGTTGAAAGTCATTGTGTACTCAGGAAAATGTAATTCTTTAAAATTTTATATCTATATTTGTTAATAAATATATACACTATTGTATATATATTTCAAGGTGAAGGTGTAATGACCATGGTCGTACACATCAGTTAACGTAAAATCAGACGATCCATATTACGCTCAATGGCCCACAAAACATGTAACTATGCCTTCTTTATTGAGTCTCCCATCTGAGGCGTCCGTTTTCTCATCGCTCCCAAGCGTGGGTGCCTCCATTTTCTCTGACTTCCTGAAACCAACCTCTCTATAAAGTAAATTTGAATGTGAGAGAGAACACCATTGTTTTGAGTCAACTTAGAGATGTCTGATTACAGTTAAAGCATACAAGATCCTTTGTGAGTGATGTTGAAAGCTTTAACTGTCTTTATTGTTAGTAACACTGGTTAAGTAAGTGAGTGTCGACTCTGTCAGTACGAACGGCATCCCATGATATTGTCCCTGGGGATAGCCATGAATTTCCAATTGCTACTGAAGTTAGATCATTTTGCTGCCCAAACATCAGAGAATCTGATGTTTGTAGCTTAGTTAGTGTCAGTTATCTATTTAAGAAACTCATTAATCTCCTGAACTATTCTGTCAACCCATATAATCTCCAACATCTAACGTATCCCCTTGAATAGTTCCTCGTTTGTAGTTTCTTAACTTTGTAAAACTAATGTTAACAACGTGTGTACAGTAATTCCACTTTTTCCTGGCAAGCTCAATCTCTGATTAGATTATTTGAATAGATGTAGGAAATTCACCTGACCTGTGGCATTGAGTGTCATAGTTAAATGTACAGCAACTGAGTTGAATGTAATTTCTGTCATTGTTGATTCGCCTTTCTGGCATGTGATCCGCACAGGTCTGAGTTGCCAGTTAGCCGTACATAAACTCGTGCACAGGGGGTAGCGTAACATCTCTGACGCTTCTCCATCATTATCTCAGGTATGTGTATAATTTTCCTCCCGCCATATTAAGTCAGTTTAACTCAGTAAATTTTGTGAATATTAGTGATCATGTTGTAACAGTGAAATTGTCATTTACCCAGTGAAAGAATTAATGTAACGTAAATATCGCCTTGTCGCGCTAGACGAATGATTGTTTGTGATTGAATTATTATTCACATCTCTCATGCTTCTCCATCATTATCTCAGGCACAGGCTGTGTGTTAGCTGTAATAACCAACAGTCACCGGGGGACCGGTAGTTGCATGCCAGCTGGCTGTATTAGAAGATGCTTAATTTGGCAGGATTAAACTGTGAGAGTCCGCACCCTGGGAACTAGGCCCGACCTCCCTGCAGTGAGTCGAACTACAACCGACCCTAACATCGCTCTTCACTTGTTGTGGTGAACCAGTGTTACACCCTGGGGCACTTTTTACAGTTATATGGGCCAAAGTATTATTGTTGTGTATGATTGGAGATAATTAGCAGGATTATAGTTATCCCAGGTTGAGTAGTGAACCTATAAAATTGACAGTACATTGGTCCCTCGGTTAATGAACGGTTCGGTTAACGAATTACCTTCCATAAGAATCTTCAATTCGGTTAACGAACAAAAATTTGATTCACGAAATCCTTATGAAAATCACGTTTTGTGAGCATCAGCTGATGGGCTAGTCTGCCAATTCAGTAATCTGTTCTATGTTTACATTCGTTTCCAATGGAGTAAATATCAATAAAGTTGTGCTCTTTAATATTTGTGCATATTTTATATTAAAATTATTAATCATTTTAACATTTATTTAACATATTGATAATATATGCAGTACAGGGAACTAGTTTGTTAGCGCCCATCAGATGTGCGAGTCGGTCACAAGGCGTCAGTTGGGCTTTGAAAACAGTGGAGAGGGCATCTATTTTGTTGTTGTCTTGAACATTTTTGCATTTTCATTGAAATTATTGGTCATTCTGAACTTTGGTTAACATATTGATAATATATAGTGTAGTGCAGTGTTGATTTAAAGAAAATAATCTTGAATTACACCTAGTGAACTTAAAATTTTATTGGTGAAATTACTGCATCAAGCATGGGTCCCCTGAAAGGTGATTTCTCCTCCATCGCCACTTCCTTCTATTATCCATTCTTCCCCACCCCACTTCTAATTCCCATCATCATCATCAACCAGGAACATTCTACATACATACCTCAAAGTAAGTGTATTTTACTATTTTTTTTTTACTTTGCATGTACTTTTCGGTGAGCTGGAACCAATTACCCGATTACCATAGAAACAATGGATTCGGTTAACGAAATTTTCGATATCGAACGACTTCTGGAACGAATTGTGTTCGTTAACCGAGGGACCACTGTAGCAGTAAATATGTACATGAGTTGAGTACATCAACAGAAGGAAAAGTGCCATGTTATTCATTCCGAAATAACATGTTACAGATACATTTTTAATTCGGGATATTGTCAAGTGGATCATATAACCATCTGTATTGATAATGAAATAATATAATGCTTGTTCAATGTTGTAACCAAGAATTGAAGATTTAATTTGTAAAAATAAGACTTGAGGGTCCGTTCCTATCTGAACGTGTAAAATAACCATCTTATTTGTCAAAGAAATAATACAACAGTTGTTTAAGGATGTACTAAGTAATTGAAGATATATTTTATGAATGGTAAAGTAAGACTTAAGTGGACCAGTCTTGTCTGAGTGAACTTAATTAACATCTTATTCACTCCTTATGTAATAAATATTAAATTAGTGGCTAATATCACTGCTCTATTCTTTCTACCCATTGGTTCTCAGAAAATAACTATTGTAACTCACGTGCCTAGAAGCTCACTACCTGACAGTTCACTAAGATATGTTATATTCTAATAAAATTCTGGGTGGTGGCAGGCTCGCGTTGTAAGTAATAAATGTTATAATAAGAATGACACGGTTCCCAGACTAATCCATGGTTTAGAATATAACTACAACAGGATATAATTGAGAGAAAGTAAGGACATGAAATTCAGGAAATACAATGATATATAGTGATCCCTCAGTTAAAGAGCGCCTCGGTTAACGAATTACCTTCCATAAGTTTCTTAACTTTGGTTAACGAGCAATCCCTCGATTAACGAGTATCGCCCCTCCACATGTTTTCGCTTGCATTTGGCGGTCCACCAGCTGTAGTATCAGTCCTAATACAGTAATCGGTTCTAGGGCTTAAATTCCATACTATTTTAGTAAATATCAAGAAGTTTATACTATTCAATAATTTAAAAGTTTTATATAATTTTTTTTAGTCATTCTAATAATTATTGAACATAAATGAAGTATAGGAAGCTAGTTTTTTGCGTGCCAAACAGCCTGTCAACACACCATACAGGAGTCAGTCCCTGTGTCTTTTCAGTGGAAGTAACATCTTGCTTCAGACTCTCTTCAACTAAATGCTGTTTTTCTGTGTTTCCAAGCAAATTATTGGTCAATTTGAAATTTATTTTATATAATGACAATATATAATGCAGTGCAGAGTTGATTTAAAGAAAATAATCTTGAATTACACCAAGAGAACTAAAATTTTATGGGTGAAATGGTGCCGAGGGTGACTTCTCTTCCACCCCAATGCCTTCTCTTCTCCCTTCTCCTCCACCCCCATTCTAATTCCCATCATCATCATACAGAGCCTTCTGCATTATAAAGTAAGTGTACTTTCTATCTTTTTGTTGATTTTAGGCAATTTTCGTGAGCTGGAACCAATTATCCAAAAACTCATTGAAACAATGGTTTTGGTTAACAGATATCGGTTAACGAGCAACCTTCTGGAACGAATTGTGCTCGTACCGAGGGACCACTGTATATGAAAAAAAAATGATGTAAAGAAAAGAATATTGACTTAGAAAATATAAGCAAAGAAATATAAGATATATACTTATAGAACGAAAGACATAGAATATGAAATTATTAAACTATGTAAACCAGAAAAGATTAATATTAAAGATAGATATGAGCAAGAATATACGTATATTAATATATTGAAGAATAATTACAGAAGAGAATAAGTATAAGATATATTTGAAATAAGATTAAAAGTACAGTATTGAACAATAGATTGAAGAATAAAAAGAATAAGTATATGAAATAGTATGATGAAGGAAATGCTGCACATTACAAAGGTTCATGTGTATTAAGGAATACATACTGCAAGAAGGCATGAAGTTCTGGGTGGCTACTGGGGTCGACTGACACCTCAAACAGTGGACGGAACAAGTTGTCAACGAAAATGCCAAAATTATCAATGATGTTGTTACTCTTGTAGATGTCACTGAAAATTAAGATAATTATTAATTATCAACTATATGTAGTGCTCATTTCTAAGATATTTATTAGTTTCTGCATTTGAATTACAGTACTATATATATATATATATATATATATATATATATATATATATATATATATATATATATATATATATATATATATATATATATATATATATATATATATATATATATATATCTTGATAAAATCACACGGAAAATGGAAACAACGAGTACTTTTAGCTGCCTTTATTCAAGACATCTTCATTGTGATTTAGATGTATATATATATATATATATATATATATATATATATATATATATATATATATATATATATATATATATATATATATATATATATATATATATATATATATATATATATATATATATATATATATATATATATATATATATAAACATACAGTCATGCGCCGTTAACGTCTGGCAACGCCCCATTGTATATACGTCCGTGCCTCAAAAAAAAATGTGACGCTTGCTGGACCACCACCTTACCTAATTCTGACGGAAACACGATGATCCTCCCCATACTGGTTAGATAATATGTGTTAAAGGATATGCTTCCTTACTTAGGCTGTTTTTAAGCATTTGCCTACAGGTGACTGTTAGCTACATCTATTGAGGATAAAATCTTTTAAGCCTACAAATTGACAATAACACATTTGCTGTAATCAGACATATCTAGTTGCCTCAGCAATTTACGGCAGTTGCCAGTGGGGGTTACAATTCAAATTCTGTGGCATTACTAAAAAATAGTAAGTTTCACGGTGCACTCTAAGTTGAGAGAAAGCGGAGGACTCAGGCGTCCTGATGTGAGAGAAAAAGGACTGCATTATGACGGGGGACCAAATAGAAAAAAGCATAGCTACATGGTTTGTGGACTACAGTATTAAAAGCGCACTTTTCATCACTTTGTAATAGCTTCCTAGCCATGTCTATGTGTGTTTATGATATTGTATAACATTATATATATATATTTAGTGGGTCTAAATGGTTGTAAAATGGGAAACTTGAGGTTGGGTCTTGGGTGCTAGACCAATTAGGAATAAATCCCATAGGTTCTGTGCTTTTAGATTATGGGTGGGGTCCCAATTAGGCGCGATAACCAAGGGATGACTATTACTGTATATACTTGTGACACTGGCCAGTTGCTTCTGTGGTGTTATGGTACAGAAATTGCAAGTGACAGCACTAGGATCACTTCTCTATCAAGGAATAAACAATTAAAATTTAAATTGAAAAAAAAAGCATTCAAATAAATTACTATCTTTGAGGTCCTCAATGTAAGTTATATTCACCCAGGTCGTTTGGGTGTAAATTATGAAAAAAGAGCTTAGTCACTACTTAAGTAATGATAAATAAACACATGAGCAGGCCTTCAAAGCAACTGTCAAATCTTGTCTCAAATAAATAAAACAAACAAGCATGAACATTCTGTCACCTCACCTCTCCCCCCTTCCCTACCCTCATGTTCCAGAATACAAAAAGATTGGTGATTTCTTTATGTGTTTGTACATATAATGCTTGCAGACTAAAAGTAGGGATAATATAATTTGCATATTTAGAAATCCTTATAAGACAATTAATTTGAATATAAGCATCATATATTTTGCTCAAGATATAGAAATGTGAGCATTAGTGTACAATACTGTAGTACATTAAAAAATTTCAACTGTATTTTGGGTAGATTTACATAGAAATTTCTGTTTATTTTCATCCATTTACATACACACCATACTAAAGAAATGTAAAATAAATAAATGACCTTAGTGCAAAAGCCAAGTGCACATGTACTAATTTGATTCTGGGTACTAAAATTGTTATATAGTGCGAATTACAACATGTTTATACAGTATTCAAATAAATCAGTATCTTTGAGAATGCGTATATTGATTATACATTTCTCCCTAGGTCATATAACTGGCATTTAAAATGAGAGAAGCTTAGTAGGACTGTTAAATAAACACACAGAGACAGCAAATATCCAAACTTATCCTCAATCTCCACCCTGACTAACGTTTGATGGCTGTATCAAGTCAGTCCCCCGCCAGGCTTATAGGCTTACAGTTTTTATCTTATATAATATCTCAGACTAAGTTAGGAAGTTATAAGTTGCATTGCTGGAATCCTTGCAATACAATAATAATTTGAATATAAAGGTCATATATTTTGTTCAAGACAAAAATTGTTGTACATTAGTGTACCCAATACTGTAGTACATTATACAAAAAAGTTTTCAACTGTCATTTTTGGGTAGATTTACATAAATTTATTGCATTTGTTTCATCCATTTACATACACACACCATACTAAAAACGCATAAAAGGAAATAAATGACCTTAGTGCAAAGCTGAATTGCACATGTACTAATTTGATTATGGTACTAAAATTGTTCTGTCTAGTGCGAATTACAACATGTTATATTCAAATAAATCAGTATGTTACAGGAATCCCAGCTATGTTAATTATATTCACCTGGGTCATTTCACTGGCTTTATAAGAAGCTTAGTCACCTAAGAACTGACGATAAATATACAGCGTTAGACCTGGGCCTGTGCCAACTGTCAAGCATTGCTACCTCCCTCCCCCGCCCCATCGCTTGCTCCCTCCTCTCTCTCCCCCATCTGCTTGGCGTTGCTGGAATCGCCTTGTAAATGATGAATAATTTTAATATAAGCGTCATGTATTTTGCACAAGAGATAAAAAATTAATCACCTGTATCACATTACAGTAGTGATTTAGAGTAAAGTGTGTATATGCGTACATGTGTTACATACACATAAGTATAAATAAAAAAGTTTATGTGATGATGGGACGCTTCCATTTTCAGTTAACGTCAGTTTTTAAGAAGCATTATCTAGGGACGATATCCGTATGACTGTGTGTGTGTGTGTGTGTGTGTGTGTGTGTGTGTGTGTGTATGTATATATATATATATATATATATATATATATATATATATATATATATATATATATATATATATATATATATATATATATATATATATATATATATATATATATATATATATATATATATATATATATATATATATATACTGATTGTGCCCCATAGCATTGGTCAATTTAAGACAGGGTCCCGCGTTAAGTGAAATCACTTTAAGTGAACAACAAGAACAAATGGGATTAATTCCAATAGAAACCGGCCCGACCCCCAAGCTCCACTTTTGAGAGCACATACCTATGTTGCTTGTAAAATAACATCTTAATTTTATGATTAATTTTTGTACACACAATTAATACTTAGAGAAATGAAATACAGTCGCCAAGTTAATGTCATTCAAATAATGGACTCAACTCCCTCCCTCACACTACACAGCCATTTAACAGGAGTGGTCGGTCGGTCCCTCCTCCCCACCCCCCACCAGCCGTCCCAAGGAGATGTGTGGGATAACCTCAAACTAAGTTAGGAAAATATAATTGACGTACTGGATTCCGCCCATGAGATACAGGAATGTTTGAATAAAATGTCATATATTTTGGACAAAAGATAACTTATAGTTACCTAGAGAAAAATTTTATCTAAAATTGTAAGTTTAAAAACATATGATGTTTATATTCCAAAATGATCACCCAAATTATAAGAATTCCAGCAATGGCAATTATATATTCTGACGAATAATTGTATGAATTTTATGAGCTAAACAAATATCTTCAGTTAATAATAAAAAAATAATCTTCACACGACACTATCACCAACAAATCAAGTACCCCACCTTGCCTCCCCCCTCTTCCAGCAGCGGTCAGTCCCAACCCTTCCCCCACCCCCACCAATCCTCCCTTCCAGAGTTTTTAACATTTAGTATTAAATAATACCTCAGATTAAAGTTAGGATAATATAATTGACATTGCTGGATTCCTTGTAAGACCAGGAATATTTTACGAATATAATGTCATATATTTTGGACAAAAAGATAACATAGTTAATTTGAGAAAAAATTTACATCTAAAATTGTGTCTAATGCAAAATATGATGTTTATATTCAAAATGATCACCAAATTATAAAATTCCAGCAATGTAAATTATATTCTGACCGGGTAATTTGTATGAATTTTGCGGGCTAAAACAAATATCTTCAGTTAATAAAAAAAAAAATAATCTTCCACGACACTATCTGTCAAATCAAAAGTACCCCACCTTGCCTCCCTCTTCCATGGCGGTCCAGTCCCAACCCTCCCCACCCCCCACCAATCTCCTTCCAATTTTGTCATTTAGTATTAAATAATACCTCAGATTAAAGTTAGGATAATATAATTGACATTGCTGGATTCATGGCAGACCAGAAGATATTTGAATATAAATGTCATATCTTTAGGACAAAAGATACCATAGTTACCTAAGAAAAATTTTTATCTAAAATTGTAAGTTTTAAAAGCAAAATATATGATGTTTATATTCAAAATGATCACCAAAATTATAAAAATTCCAGCAATATAAATTATATTCTGACCCGAATCAATTTGTATGAATTTTTATGAGCTAAAACAAATATCTTCAGTTAATAAAAAAAATAATAATTCTTCCGCAGGGTAACAGATGGTGGTGGTGGGTCCCTCCCTCCCCCCACCCCACCGACATTCAGGGGAATTCAACAATAGGATAACCACCTAAATTTTTAATAAATAATACCTCAAACTAAAGTTAGGATAATATAATTGACATTGCTGGATTCCTTGTAAGACCAGGAATATTTTGAATATAAATGTCATATATTTTGGACAAAATGCCATAATTACCTAGAAAAATTTTTAATCTAAAATTTGTAAGTTTAAAGCAAAATAAATGATGTTATATTCAAAATGATCACCAAATTATAAGAATTCCAGCAATGTAAATTATATTTTCTGGCCTGGTAATTTGTATGAATTTTATGAGCTAAAACAGGCAGTCGGCAGGGTATGGGTGGGCAAATCTAAAAATAAGCGTCTCGGACACTCACGGCGGTATATGTGGAAAAAATCAGTTAAGTGAAAGTTCAGCTTTGGCAAGGCACTCTTCATTATATCGCAGCATATATATATATATATATATATATATATATATATATATATATATATATATATATATATATATATATATATATATATATATATATATATATATATATATATATATATATATATATATATATACAGTCTACCCTGTTTCTGGCGGTCCCACATTCAGCGTTTCCAGGGTTACATGGTACCCTGCAGAGAAACAGGAATGCTCACATTCAGCGGTCAGTATGTTTACAGGAGAAGCGACTGGCGAGGCATGGTTCTGGATCAAACCTCCAGCCATCTCTCCGCCATGTTGTGTGGCGTGGCGAGCAAGTGCTACAAGGTTAGCCAGTCATCAAACATTACCGAGTTCTTCCACCGCCACCCACCACAGCCGGCCCAAGTCATGAATAGTGATAATTATAGTGAGGATATGGACTTATATGGACTTTGAGTAGTTTGACAAAGAGGCCCTGCAAGTGATACAGGTGAGGGCCAATAATCTGCCCTCTGCCTCGGAACCAACCGCCATCGTGTGCCCAGCCATCTTTTCTACTAATGTAGTGTTAAAAAACCTAATATTATTGATATTTCTCTTGATTATTATACTGTGTTGCATACCATCATAAAGTTAAGACAATATTTTCTACAACATAGTTGTGTGTGAATTCAAAAAGTGGAGTTTGGGGGTCGGCCGGTCTATTTCAATTAATCCCATATGTTATGTTTTTTCACTACGCGTTTCTCACTTTCCTTGGTACCCTGTGGGTTTGAATTAACGCGTAAAGTAGGGTTGACTGTATGTATATGTGTATATGTATATGTATATATATATATATATATATATATATATATATATATATATATATATATATATATATATATATATATATATATATATATATATATATATATATATATATATATATATATATATATATATATATTATATATATATATATATATATATATATATATATATATATATATATATATATACAATGTTACCCGCTTTCTGGCGGTTTCATAACGTGATTTCTCACATAGCGGTGCCTCGTAGTGCAGACTTTCATAACGCGGTTCATTTTACTCATTATCTTGTGGTGAAGTATAATATTTTTTTTTTTTTTATTTAGCTCATAAAATTCATACAAATTACTCGGCAGAATATATTTTACATTGCTGGATTCTTAAATATGATGATCATTTTGAATATAAACATCATAGATTTTGCATTAGACATATAAATTAGATATAATGTTTACTCTGTGGTGAATATGTTATCTTTTGTGCAAAATATATGACATTTATATTCAAAATATTCTTGGTCTTTACAAGGAATCCAAGCAATGTCAATTATATTATCCTAACTTTAGTTTGAGGTATTATTTATTACTAAAAGGTAAATATTCTGGTTTTCCCCATCTGGTAGGGAGGGTTGGTGGGGAGGTAGAAGACCGATATCCTATCTTGATTGTGAATATTCTTTTTATTAACTGAAGATATTTGTTTTAGCTCATTTACAAAACAATTTACATTGCTGAATTCTTACAATTGATGATCATTTGAATATAAACATCATAGATTTTGCATTAGATATACAAATTTTAGATATAATGTTTACTCTGAATAAATATGTTATCTTTTGATATAAAATCATATATTTATATTCAAGATATTCTGGTCTTACAAAAAGTGTCAATTATATTATCTTTAGTTTGAGGTACAGTATTATTATTACTAAAGTTAAAATTGGGTTTTTCACCCAACATTTCTCTGTTGAGGATGGAAGGTGGGGGTGGGGGGAGGTTGGGACAGCGACCATCTGGGATTGGAAGGGGGAGGCAAGTTGGGGTACTTTGACAGATAGTGTCGTGAAGAATATTTTTTATTAACTGAAGATATTTGTTTTAGCTCATAAATTCATTACATTACCCAGAATATAATTTACATTGCTGGAATTCTTTAATTTGATGATCATTTTGAATATAAACATCATGGATTTTGCATTAGACATACAAATTTTAGATATTATGTTTTACTCTGAGTAAATATGTTATCTTTTATGCAAAATATATGACATTTATATTCAAAATATTCCTAGTCTTACAAGGGAATCCAGCAATGTCATCTAACAAAGTGTTTAATTTTCTTTTTTAAAGGACTGTACAGGTAGTCATTTTCTGTTAAACTTATACAGCAAATATAACCATCAGTTTTCCGGCATTTTCGAAAATCCGGTACTCCTCAGGTCCCGAGGTTGCCGGATTTTTGATAGTCAACCTGTAATGGGAAAATCTTCTCACAAATAATCAGAAACTAATGTATTGAAAATGTGAGTCTACCCTCAAGTTCACGCTGTGCTTTGTTTAATAACAAAGCATGGAGTGGACTTGAGGGTAAACTCACACATTTTAATTTTGCTCTTTTAAGGGTGAGGGTTGTGACAGGTGAGGGGGCAATCATGAAATCAGCACCCAGTTGCCAAATATAGGTATGTTTTAACATTCTAGAATATTCAAATTGAGTAGTACATTAATGATAGCTGCTGCATGGTGAATGGAATTCAACTAAAAATGCAACTGAAATATATATAGAATAAGAAGACACAGTATATAAATGAATAAGCTAGAGACAGTATATTGTACTCACTAAAGGCGTGGCACCTGGATGAGCCAGCGCACATTCTCCGAGTGCACATTGTGCTCTACAGCCCAGTGTGCCAGTTTATCCCACTCATCAGCTGACTTCCCATATATTGAAAGCCTCAATTCAGCATTCTGATACTTGCTTTCCTCCAGGTCAAACATTACTTCCTACAAAAAAGTAAACAAAGGTTTATGTCACACAAATATATAAAAGTCCATTTCTGATATTACACAAAGGAGGGAATTGTAGTTTTACAATTGTTCTTGCCCAATGGATAAGTTAATAATAATTCATCTATATATTTAGTAGCCTTTAATGCTATTTAATGAAAATTTGAGTATTCAACTTGGTTTAACCTTTTGTATATTTCAAGTCTACCTTTTCATCATGGGTGTAATATTGAAGGTGGAGGTAGTGAAGGTAGTAAGAGTGAAGGTGGTGAGGGTTATAGTGATGGTGATAACAGTGAAGGATTATGGCACCGAGTGTGATGATAATAGAAGTAAAATTGGTGGCAATGGAGGTGATGGTGATGGCAGCAAGTATTATGGTATGTGTAATTTACTGGTTATGAGTAAACCTGAGAAACACTTACCTTTATTATATGACCAAAATGTCTTCCATTAAGGTAGTTGTCAGTTTTGAGGAAGACCTCACGCAGTCGAGACTCTCCAACAGGGTTGTATTTGGCATTAAACTTGTCAAATCTGCAAAACATTTTAGTGTTATTTTATATATGTTCTATTATAAGGAATCAATGTTCACACTAAGAAATTAATGCTTACATTCTCACCATATATGAGTAAGATGCATGCCACCGAATCTTAAAGTGACAATTAACATGAGTGTAATGGTGTTCCCAGTTCCAAGAACTAGACAACACCTTTATCCTCTTCTGATAACTAGAGGCATTGCACAAATGATAAATAAACGCTATCCTCAAATTACAAATTAAATGCCTCTGATTTGAAATATTTATGAAAAACAGACATCTCTACAACACTGAGATTTTTGCATGAAATATTTATAAAATAAATATCATAACTAGTAAAGTGAACCATTTGATCGAGAATTATATATCCAAGACCAAACCCAGTGCCTCTAGGAATACAAGGAGACCCCTACACATGAACCATGTGGCGGTCGACAAAGTTAAGAAGAAAACCCAGAAATTCAAGGCGTGGGTTAGGTCAAACGATGAGCAGGACAGGAAGATGTATGCAAGAGCCAGAAACCAAGCAAAGTCAGAGTGTAGAAGGGCTGAAAAGAAGTTCCAGAGGCTGGTTGCAAGCGAGGTCAAGTCAAACCCAAAGGCGTTTTACCACTATGCAAAGTCAAAATTAAAAATGCGAGTTGGAGTGTCAGATCTGAGGCATGAAGATGGTAGCTACGCAGATTCTAGCCAGGACAAAACTGAGGCATTAAACAGCTTCTTTTCCTCGGTGTTCACAAGAAAGGATGCGCTTAATCTTCCTGCGTTTGAGGACAGACGGTTCAACATAGCACTAACCCACATTGTGTTCACAGAAGAGGTTATAAGAAACAAAATGTCAAAGTTAAAGGTTCATAAGAGTCCCAGCCCAGACATGGTGCATCCCAGAGTGCCAAGGGAGTTGTGCAATGAGCTTGCTGAGTCCCTTTAGATCCTGTTCTGTAAATGCCTGGATGAACAAAAGGTCCCCAGTGATTGGCAAATGGTTTATGTGAGTCCTATCTTCAAAAACGGCGATCGTCACTCCACGAATAACTATAGACCAGTGAGCCTAACCAGCATAGTATGTAAAGTACTTGAGAGCATTATAAGAGATGCCATGATGGAACATCTACGACGAAACAACCTTGTAAAGGATAGCCAACACGGTTTTATGCCACGGCACTCCTGCTTAACACAATTACAGTATAGTCTGGATTTACGCGGTTTTTGTTTAAGCATTTGGTCATTTACGCGGCACCTTGCCAGAATGAAATGTTTTAATTACTCGGTAAATTTCATCATTTACGCGGGTGAAGTATAATTAGTGTATTTACTGAAGATATTTGTTTTTAGCTAATAAAATATATAATTTACATTGCTGGAATTCTTATAAGATGGTGATTATTTGCATGAAATCAAGCAATGTCAATTATATTATCCTAACTTTAGTCTGAGGTATTATTTATTACTAAAAATGTAAGCATACTGTTTTTCCCCAAACATTTCTCTGGTAGGGAGGGAAGGTGGGGGAGTAGGAGGGGGAGGGAGGGAGGAGGGAGGGAGGGAGGGAGGGAGGGAGGGAGGGACCCAGCAAGCGTGGGAAGAGGGGGAGGGGGCGGGAGGTGGGGTATTTTGATTGACAGATAGTGTCTGGGTGAAGTATAATTTGTTTATTTACTGAAGATATTTGTTTTTAGCTCATAAAATTCATACAAATTACCCGGCCAGAATATAATTTACATTGCTGGAATTCTTATAAGATGGTGATTATTTTAAATGTAAACATCCTAAAATTTGCATTAGACATACAAATTTTAGATCTAATTTAAGAATTTTATTAGAAAGAGCAAAAATTTTTTCTTTTGTGCAAAATACATGACGTTTATATTCAAAATATTTCTTGTCTTGCAAGGAATCCAACAATGTCAATTATATTATCCTAACTTTAGTCTGAGGTATTTTTTATTACTAAACCTTAAAACCTAGTGTTTTAACCCAAACATTTCTCAGAGAGGGAGGAGCCAGTGAGCATTGGAAGAAGGGGGGGGGGGGAGTTGAGTCCATTATTTGAATGGACATTAACCGGCAACTGTATTTCTCTTAATTATTAATTGTGTGTGCATACCATCATAAAATTAAGATGTTATTTTTACTACAAGGTACGTATTGTGTCTGAAAAAGTGTAGTTTGGGGGTCGGCCCAGTCTCTATTTCAATTAATCCCATATGTTCTGTTATTTCGTTTATGCATTTCTCGTTTTACGCGGACCTCCACGGGTTCAATTGACCTCGTAAATTGAGACTACAGTGGGGTATGCTATAACGAACGTAATTGGTTCCAGAACCTCGTTCGTTATAGCAATCGTTCGTTATAGGATTAATCCGTTCCAGGCCCCCAAATACAACCGCTTAACACTGAAAAAATTCTGTGGAAAATGTAAAAAATACGTTACTTTATCTTACCTTAGTGTTATTCAGCATGCAGGTACAGTACCCCTAAACACTGGCACAGCACTATCACTTCCACTGGGAGTCTTGGCTTTAAGGTCCTCAAACAATTGTTTAGCCTTCTCACAAATTATAGCTTCACTAATGTTACCACCTGCCATTTCTTTCTCCTTTATCCACACTAAGAGTAAATTTTCCATCTCTTCAATCACATTACACCTTGCTTTGCTAAGTCTAAAGATTCCCTTAGCCACTTGCACAGTTTTTAACTCCTCTTTATTCTTCAAAATCGTACATATAGTCGATTTAGCCATCCCATATTCATCACTAAGTTTCGCAATGCTTCTTCCATTCTCACGTTTCTTTATAATTTCTTTCTTAGTTTCAAGGGTTATTAGCTTTCTCACTTGCTTTGGACGACTCATTGTTACAATTGTATACTTGTATAACAAAATAGTTATACAAATAACGCGAATTTCCACATCAAAAGACGAAATTTCAACAATAACAGTAGTGCACTGGCTACACAATGAGACAAAGATGGCGCCTGACGCTCTTGTTGTGGGTCGCGGTACAACAATATTCATGCGCCAGGCGAAATAGTCCGGTATTCATCCGCGTTCGTTGTAGGAGTTGCGTTCGTTATAGCATTCTCAATTTTATAGGTAAAACCGTTCGTTATAGGAATATTCGTAGTAGGATCCGTTCGTTATAGCATACCCCACTGTATACTGTACTCAAGGTATTGGATATTTGGACCCATATTCTGGAACAGGGTGGTAATATCAACAAAATTTACCTATATTTTGCCAAAGCTTTCAACAGTGGACCCCAAGAAAGGCTGAAAATTAAACTGGAAGGGTACAGGATTCGGTGAAATGTCCTAGCAAGGATCGGAGACTTTCTCCATGACTGCAAGCAGTGTGGTGATTAATGGCATGAAATCATCATGTGTTCCCGTCATAAGCGGGGTGCCACAGGGCAGTGTATTGGGCCCGCCGTTGTTTGTTTGCTTCATAAATGACATGCCTGACGCTGTACATTCCTCCATCCAAATGTTTGCGGATGATGCCAAGTTATTTCGGGAAGTTAAGAACCAAGCAGACTGTGAAGAGCTGCAGAAGGACATCTGTGAATTTCAAGAATAGCCGAAGAAATGGCTGCTAAGATTCAATGTAACTAAGTGTAAAAGGCTGCACCTGGGGCGTATAAACGGTAAGGAGGCGTATCATATGTCCCAATGAGACGAAGAAACTTCATTAATTGAGACTGAATGTGAAAAGGGCCTAGGTGTGTACGTTGACAATGAGCTGAAGTTCTCGGGCATTTGAGAGAAGAAGGGAATCAACATATATACTGTACAGTCAACCCTCGCTTTACGTGGTCCCACTTTACGCGTTTCCACGTTTACGCGGTACCCTGCCGAAACCAGAATGCTCACTTTCCGCGGTATGTGTACCCTTTTACGTGGAGAGCGGCACGAGCAGGGTGCGCACAAGGTCGCCCAGTCATCAAAACATTACCAAGTTCTTCACCAGCCGGCCCAAGTCAGTGATAGTGATAATGATAGTGAGGATATGGACTTTGAGGGGTTTGACAAAGAGGCCCTGCAAGCCTCTGTGGTGGATAGTGATACAATTGATACAAGTGATACAGTTGAGGGCCAATAATCTGCCCTCTGCCTCGGAACCAACCCCCCATCCCCGTGTGCCCAGCCATCTTTTCTACTAATGTAAGTGTTAAAAAACCTAAACGTAGGTATTGTATCTGAAAAAGTGGAGTTTGGGGATCGGCCCGGTCTCTATTTCAATTAATCCCATATGTTATGTTGTTCACTTTACGCGTTTCTCACTTTATGCGGGCCGCCGTAGGTTGAATTAACCGCGTAAAGTGAGGGTTCACTGCATATTGTTTCTCACAATTTTTTTTTTTCAATTTGTATTTCTTTATGGTTCTTTATTATTATTATTATTATTATTATTATTATTATTATTATTATTATTGCATTTTCGCCCACTAGGCCCCAATGTGGGTCAGTGACCTGTGCCTGGGTGGGCTAATTCCCATAAAAAAAAAAAATGCAATACCGTATTTGCCGGCATATAAGACGCGGAAAAAAAAGCATCACAAATTATCCTGCGTCTAATGTGTTAGATATAAACTAGGTTATCCCATATTTATGTGAATATGTTGTATAATATTTTGTGTTAGTTGTGGAATAAAGCGCCACTTTGAATGTGCATGTTATGTTTGTTTTGTTATTACGGAAGGTCCCGAAAATATACTGGAAAGAGCAACATCGTTTGTGTCATTGTCTGAGCCTCTCGCATCATATTTCGTTGATATCCACCAAAAATGAACACTGTAACTTTAACAGGTTATGGGCCCAGGCACAGGTTGGTGTTTGATGGTGATGAAAGCAAGTATGAGTTGTGGGAAGTGAAGTTCTTAGGCCATTTAAGACTTCAAAAACTTCTCGATGTCGTTAATCAAGATGGAGATGGTGCAGAGGTGACGGAGAAGAATGCTGAAGTGTTTGCAGAACTAGTCCAGTACCTCGACGATA